ACCTCTGCTTCATTGGCCAATGCTGGTGTCATCTCTCTCGGGATGGCAGTATCCCCCACTTTCCCCCTGACTGAAACATCTGAACAACTGTTGGACAGATTGCCATGGTTTGCAGGGGCGGGGTCTTATTAACTTCAGTGATCCTCTTACTTCTCCGTCGTCGCCTCAGAATTTTAATTGACCGGTTTATGACCACATACTGATGACTTTCCCATCAGCCTTTGCTGTATTTGTCGTTTAGTGCTAATTAGCAGATGTTAGAGTCTCAGTCGCAATAATAGTGTCATGGCATTGTCAATGTATGTTAGCTTGCAATGTTAGCATTCAGCTCAAGGCGCCGCTGTGCCTAAGTACAGACTCACAGAGCCTCTAGTGTGATTGTAGATTCATAGTCTGTAAATTAAGAAAACGTTTAACCCTGCAGCTATAGTTTAATACATGCGAAGACTCACTCATGAGTTCAGGCTACTTGTCTTTGATGCACCAATAACTAATTAAGAGCATATGAATAATTTTAAAGCACTTCCTAATTTGAATCTTGATTTACTAAAATCAAAGATTGTGTAAAGACTGAACGTTGCTGAGCCCAGCTGTGTGAACAGTATTCAGTCAACATGGTGAATCTGTTGGTATCAGTGGATTCTCCCTCCTTTGTCTCTCTGCGTTTCAATTAATCTCTCTCTCTTATCATGTCTCCATGTTACTCTAACACTCCTTCTCTGTCTCACATCCAGAGCACCACTACTTCAGTTTTGTGTCCATAACCTTTTTGTAATCTGTGTAACATTTGCTCAGCCACTTGTGTGTGTGTGTGTTGTGTGTCTGCGAGCACATTTGACCACTTGAAATCCAAATGTTATGTGAAGGGTCTTGTGTTTTTCTAGACAATGAGGCTGTTATCTTAGTTTTCCTTTCCTGACCAACTGTGGGAGTCCTCAGTCCTCTGCTCCCATTGGCCTCCATCAACTTATTTGCTGTGTCACACACACACGCACACGCACACACGCACGCGCGCGCGCGCCCACTCATACATGCGGTCTGTTCTGACGACAAACTTTGGCTGAAGGTGTTTCAGACACTGAGATCTCCATGGTAACTGGTCACAATGTTTTTCTTTGATGTATGTGTTCCATGTTCCCAGAGCCCCAGTGGATTGTAGAGCCGTGTGCACACACGTGTTTGTGTGTGTGTGTGTGCCTGTGAAGAGAACAGCAGCCTGAGGATATGGCATATCTTTCAGACAGCCGCGCAGGGGAAGAAAACACCAGGGAGTGTGAGAGAAATAAAGCCACAGAGTGAGGCAGGAAGATGGGAAGTTGTCACAAGAAAGATGGTGTGATTAGAACCTTTGGATTGCCTCCCTTCAGTGTCCAGGCCAGTTCAATGAAGATAGATTTTGAATGAAGTCAAGACCACAGGAGCCGAACCGTGTTGTTGTGAGGTGTCCTAATATAAAATGTTTTACAGACACCTGTCTGCTAATTACACACGAGTGTGTGGCTGAGGTGTAAGTCAGATTAATGTGTCTGCATGAGATGAATGTGTCTTGTTCACCACTGTTAAAGTTGGTCCATTTAAGTCATGTACAGATATCCAGGGTGCCCAGAGGATCAGTCTAGGTTTGGGCGGTATACCGGTTTTGTCACCGGTGTCACGTTCTGCCAAGACATGGATTTTGCAATGCCATTACTACCGTGATACACACACACACATACCAAGGTTAATTCAGAACACCTACTTCTTTATTGATTATTCAATATGTACATGAAGTGATAAACAGCTCATCAGTTTTCCGTCCTCTCTGTCGTATCATAACGACGTCCTGCCGCTCTCTCTGTGAATGTCTGTCTTACAACCTACAGGCTGGTGATTACAGTGACTTTATAACAGCTGTAAAACAGTTTCTGCTGAACAATAAACATGAGACATTATTGAGCAGGCTTTGGTTTTAGCAAACACTCGAGGGTGATCTCCCTCCCACAACACCTCGTGAAATATGTTACAGCCACAGGTTACATACAGGCAATAGACTCATTCTGTGCACCGCTGATTTAACCCGATGCATGCTGGACTTGAAACAATACATGTTGGTTAGAAATGTTGTGCAACTTTAGCCAGCGCTACAGAATGTCACCATGAATGTCGGCTGCAGTTTTCTATACCAGGCTGCTGCAGTTGCTGTGCTCCTGCTGCACTGACTGGAAATCACCTCTGTGATGACAGAACTTCACCCTAATTAGCTTAAAGCTTCACTGACGTGCATGACGTGTGGTACATTTTTATTAAGAACTTCAGATGCGCTATCTCCTGTGGTTATCTCCCCCAGAGGGGAATGCAATTTATTTGAACTCCTCCTTCTGGCAGCTCATTCTTTACATATGGGCACCAACACTATAGTTTTCATTTCCAGCTCGAAAGATATAAAAACTGTTTAGTTTCTGAGTTTGTTGTTGTAGAATTTGTGTTGTATGTTTGACAATCGCATGTTGAAGTGTGTGAGACAATTCATAATATTTTTCAACTCAATTCGTAATATTGTGACCAAGGTCTGGCCTCCGATTGTTGTGTTCAGAAGTCATTTCAAGTAGCTTTCTTCATGTGGGTTAAAATGTACAAGGTTGTCAGCTTCCAGTTTCTTCGGAGATGAAAATTGTAAAAAGTGTAATGTAATTACTAGTCGGACTGGTGCCACATCATTTGCAATCTGATAAATACTGCAGCCAAAGTTGGTCCACTAAGCGCCGTTGAAATACGCCAAGAGATGCGCTGAGGAAATCACTACAGTCGCAATACTCACACTCAAACTGAGGAGAAGGATTAGGAGATGCTTTGACTTATGGGACTTGAGTCTTTATCAGTTCCCCATTAAGAATGAAAAAAATACTTTTTATTTGTAAAAAAAAAAAAAAAAAAAAAAAAAAATGAATGTCAGCCTCATATGAGCGGATTTTTTTTTTCTTCCACCGTCTTATTCATACATTTAAAACAGGAAGCAACTTCTTTTTTTAATAATGATTATTTTAGGTTTGATAACATTTTGATAATGATCCAATTAAAGACCAGAATACACATTTAATCTGGGAAATACAGCTCCAGTCTGGTGTCACGGTGGCCTAGAAGTGTAAGATGCTTACCACATAACCGCAACAAATCCAGCTGGAGATCTTTGTTGCATGTCATCCTCCCCCCTCTCCTTAATTTCCTGTCTCCAGCTCTTGACTGTAAACTATCAAAAGCAACAAATTACCAAAAAATACTTGAAGAAAAAAAAAAAAAGAATAGACAATATCACTTTGGCTTGTTGGCAGGTATGAAGAAAAGTGACGTCATTAAAGTCCAACTTAACACCTTGTTTTATCTTGAACACACAAACGGAAAACGTGTTCACACTCAGAGCACATCAGAGGAACTCATACATCTCTGAAAGTTTTTTTTTTGATTATATCTTGATAGCGGTGGCTTTGCCCGCATCAGAGTGAATGTGATGTTGTCTTTTACTCTGGGGGTGGGAATAAAATGTAGTGTCACAGATCTTTTTTTTTTTTTGGTCCAGAGTGCAGAAATACTTGATATTATTTTCCTTTCCACTTTTGAAAACGGCAACAAAAACAGAGATAAACAAATGCCGCTGCGTTAGAGACAACAGCCTGGGACTGTAATCAGCTGAAAGTTGAACACAGTGATTACACATGTAATTTTCTAACTTAAGAAATGTGAATTTAGTAAGTTGGCTCCATTTAAGCAGAATAAATCAACTACCAGATTCTACTAGATGAATCAGATGAAATCTTTTTTTTTTTTAAATTGAAGATGAACACAGAAATCATTCAACCCTCCAGTGTTTCTTCACAGCTTGTATTCAGCCTTTACAGATTCTCGAAGAACAACATTGAAACAGCAAGTCATTCTCCCTTTGTCTCCTGAGCACTCTCCATACTGCATTTAGCCTTGGTGTAGCATTGTGCAGTCAGATAGCAAATGCCATTAGTTCAGTTATCCTCTCCTCTCAGCCGTCGGAGATTTGTGGCGTTTCGCACAGAAATGAGCAGCTGAGTTCACCTCAGCCTGTTGTGTGTGAGGAAGCACACTAATTGGTTTATCAAGTGGGATTTACTTTTTCTTTTTTCTTTTTAAATATGCATCATAAAAAAAAACTTAGTAATGTACCAACAGCTGCACTACTTCTCTGTTTCTTATTGCTTGAGTCAATTTTCTAAATAATAATATAGCAGAGTTCAGGCAGAATCAGTTTTTTAAATCATATTTAATCATATTTCATGGAAGGTAATTTAGCTCCTAATCGCACTCTGTGGGTGAACATTTACTGACCTTCAGTGATAAAGTGTTCATGTGGTTAATAATGTAGTGCAGTATTGAATCTTTTGCATTTATTCTTTTTGTATTCTACTCTTCTGTTATTTTCTTCATTTCTTTCCTCAGTATTGTCCCATCGCTCTTTTTAGAAAAAAAAAAAAAAAAATTTATAAGCCTTCTCATGATACTTGTCAAATAAAGATCTGTGTTTTCTTCCTCACATGGACACAGGACGTTTCTCAGACGTCTCAATATCTTCCCAGCACGTCATGGGACTCTGCTCCTCACTACCTTCCTCCCTCCCTGCAATGCTTTAATTACTTTATCCCTCGTTTCCCTCATCCCTTTCTCCTTCACTCCATCGCCCCAAGCTGCTCCTCATTCCTTTTAATTAATCCACACAGATTTAGACACCTTCACCCTGCTGTGAATGCACACACACACACACACACACACACACACACACACACACACACACACACACACACACACACACACACACACACGACAATCCCCAGTAGACAATAACAACTTTATGTGATCTTGCCTCACTTTGAAAGTTTCTCTCTGGAGATAGATTTAGTGGAAAACCCAGGTCTTATTGTTTGATATTGTGTATTGTTTTTTGACATCTGTGTGTTAATATTTGTGTGTGTGTGTGTGTGTGTGTGTGTGTGTGTGTGTAGGGCTCCAATGGAAGCATGCAGCTCATGGAGACAGAGTTCTCCAAAACTCTGGGAGAGATGGTGGCCCTTCATCTGCATCACCAGAAGAGCATCCCAGCATTCCTCTCTGCGGTGACCCTTGACCTCTTCAGCAGACAAACCACCATCTGAAGTAATCCGACACAGACTCAGACACGGGGGCTGTAAAATCTAAAATTGGGATTAGTTTGATTTTAATTGTATATTTTTTTTTTTGTTCCCTTCCTTTTCTCCTGTCTCATAAGATATTCACAAAGTGCTGAAAATGTCCCGCTACTCAACAGCTCTGACATATGAGTAGTGCAGTCAGTGCCGTGTTGTGGAGGACGAACACTTTGTTTGAAGGAATACTTCCATCTTGCATTCAAAAGGCTTCGAAAACCTATTTGTACACTGAATATTTCATCAATGAGTCTTTGAGAAATACATTTTTTCCTAACAGGGACAAAGTTGTCATGAAAATGTCACACAAAAGCCGCTGATATTTGGATGTGGAGCGTGTTTTTATAGTGGGAGTTTAATGTACACTTCCCACTGAGTTTAATACACACTGTGTGGAGCATTAGAAACATTTGTGTGGCTCTGTGGATCTGCAGTAGATGTGTTCTGTGTGGTCTTTACCAAGGCTGAGTCTTTGTTGACTCTTTTATTCTGCCTTTTGTGTCCTCTCTCTAGGGGCATTATATAAAAGGTTGTGGCTACAACTAGTCTGAGTCAATCCAAAGACTGCTGAAGAAATCCATTTTAATACAAGAGCAGTGGCTTTTATTATTATTTTTCAGTCTTATTTCTCATTCGTGTTCTCAGATATATATCAAAATCTTAAGTGAGTTTTCATCAGTGTCTGATTTTAGTTATGCCACAGATATTGTCTCTCGCTTCTCTCTCTCTCTCTCTCTCTGGATCTTTTGTAAGAAGAATCAGTGAGGGACAAGGTGAAACATTTCAGAGGAAAATACAGAGACTTGACTTCCTCCGACCACATTCAAAGTTCACACTTACCGCTTCAACGTTAGAAAAAAAAAATGTAATATTTGATCTGTAATAATCTCACTAAATTTCACAGTAAGTGCAACAGGCTGTGCTGTGTTCTCAAACAGGGAGCGCTTGTCTATTGCTGTCAGGTCTCTCATTGTTCTCTCTTAACAACAAAATGGAGAAAACTGAACAAACAATCATGGCACAAAACCGTTTGAACAGTAATGTGATGAATCATTTTGAATATCATAGACAGAGCAATCATGCGTTTTCATTTTATAAATGCGAGTGCTTTACAGGGAGATGACCACAACAAGAAATCTGAATCCCCTGTTACATCGTCACTCAACTGAGGCGGTGGAGTCTCTGTGAATACAGGAAAACATTTTTTACAACACGGTGTTTAGGATAAGGCTGTGTGGGTTGGTTTGAATTAATTCCAACAAATTACAAGTTGGTTTTCTTTTTTTTTTTTTTTAGATCGTTTTTTTGGCATTTTGTCTGTTTCTCATCTTTTTTATACTTTTTAAGAAAAAAAATTTTTTTTTAAAGTCACAGTTCCTCCATATATCTATATATATATATATTTTTTTTAATCACAGGGCTTTATATGGTATACACTTTATTTTTCCACTGCTCATCTGCTTCATAAAAATGTTATTAGACATTGGTGTGTCATCATGAAGTGCTGATGGGACAAATAAAGCCCACACATGGAAAACACCAGGGATGCTTTAATGTTTAAAATTCAAACATTAGTTAGAAACTCTTTTGAAATTCTCTCTAAAAAAAAAAAAAAAAAAAAAAAATGCATTTATATGTCTTTGGATATCAATTTTATTTTAACGAACTATGAATTATTCCTGTTAGGATTTAGTTAACGATCATGCCTGTGTGTATTTCCGTGAGCACAAAACACGAGACAAGTAGAGGGAAATTTCTTGGCAGCAATAAAGAGAAATGGCAGAAATAAACATGGCGTGAAGAGGGAAGCAAGGGAGCAATCCAATAAAACTGAGAAACGAAAGGAAGTGAACTGAGAATAAAGCCACTTATCACAGCAACAATATAAGAACTCCAGCTGGTGCAGCCATATGTCTCATGAGGAAACATATTCTCCTGTACAGTACATGCCACATACTGTCCTTTGGTTCTTTTTTTCCTCAGCCTTTCACTTTAACAACACAGCACATCTACTGCACACTCGACAGCTCTCACCTGTAGGTCATATTGTAGAGGGTTTCACATAAGCTGTGCAACACATACAGTGGTGCAGCAGACGTTGTTTTCCTTCAGCAGTGTGAGTTGCACTTTGGTTTTATAATCCCCATCCCATAAAATTACTGTACCCCCTTTTCTGTTTTAAAGATGAATGCAAATGGTAATCAATAAAGCATATGACTGACTCTTGAAAGACTGACTTGACTTCATGAATATTAATTTTGCAGCAACATTTAACCTCGGAAGAGATCAAATCCTGGCTGGTGTCAAACTGAAAGATGTAAACGAGCCTAATAAGTTGACGACTCTCACCGCTTTGTTGTTGAATGCCCCTGTGATCCTGGATGCTGTGTTGTCAGGCGTAACCGCTCCGGTAAGCTCTCCAAAGGCTGTTAGTCCCAGGTGAGCAGCCGAGCTAAGTGCAATTCAAAGAACAGTGTCTTTATGAAAGAACAGTGTCGTGTGGAAAGGAGATACTGGAGGGGGGAGTCCTGGAAGGGGAGCTTACAGGCTAGCGACTGGTGTCTGGGTCTGTACCCATCGGCTGGATCGACCTCGGACCAAATGAGGATACTCTGTTGACACAGTGGGGGCACTGATGCAGAAGAATGGAGAAAAATTAAATAATGTAGCTCAGATTTTAAACGCAGCACAACATCAGTCAAAGCACTGCTTTGACCCATCACATATGTGCAAGTTTACATTCTTGGTAGATTAATTGTAACATGAACGTAACATATTTACTATTAACGTTTATCTAGTGACTGTTGCTACGAAAGTTCAATAATTTCTGCTGTGATTACTTTCCAGAGCAGGAGAATTGTTGCTCGTGTTATTGTAAACCACTCTGCAGTGTTTTGACGTCTGAAAATCCTTCAAACTACTGGATCTGTTAACCAAACTAGACTTTGTGGATCACGTTTCATTGTCTCACAGATACCTGAAGCAACACGCTGTTTTTTTTTTTTTTTTTTTGGTCTAAATGCTCACAAAGTGTGATTCGAAGCTCTACCTGCCTGGACGAGGCTCCCGGAGGTCCCATGGGAGCAGAGGTGGGCAGGTGATGGTCTGGTGACTGGGCTTGTGGGCTGAAGAAGTAACATGAGTGGTACATGTGCACAGATTCAGTTGCCAGTTGGATGACAGGGACCTTTTTTTTTATACAAGTTAGAGCGACGAGAGTAGAGAGGGCTTTCTTTTGGACTTCTCTGGAGTTGTGGATGTAGTTGTGGCCAGAAGATTTTTGGTGTCTGTAATGGTGGAAACCCAATCAAGAAGCTGAAAGAAGCTGTCAAGCTGAAGAGGGAGGTGTTTGGGCTTGGTTAGCCCAGGGGACTCCTGAGGAGACGAGAATCATGAGGCCAGAATAAAACAGAGGCTGCTGTGGTTGTGGAAGTGAAAACTCAGATGTGAGAAGAGGTCACGGGGTGGGACACTGAAACTGTCAGTCGACACAGGCAGGGGTGGGGTGGGGGTATTGTCTTACCCAGGCAGTTCTCACCTGGGGAAGAATGGCTGCCTTCCTTGAGAGAGATTGTTGAGTGTTTGAAGGGACTCTACGAATGACTTCTGAACCTGTCCAGCAGACGCTGAGGAAGGAGCAAAGTTATTCTTTTCATTTTTATTCTTGTTTACTCCAGTGAGACCATTGGGTCTCACACAATGGCCACTTACTGCAGGCGAAAAGAGAGGCTGTGTCCATTCATTTTTTTTTTAAGGTCCCATATTGTAGCAAGTGAGGATCCATGATTTTTGGATTGTAAAGCAGGTCTAGGTTCTATATTAATACTGTGAAAGTATCAAATTAGGCAATCCATGGACAAAATGCACACAGCCTGTATTCAGAAACTGAGCCTTAAAACTAGCCATCAGGACTTCTGTAACTTTGTGATGTCATAAAAAACAGTCACTACACTCAGCTATGCCCCCAGCCCAGCCCACCTGGACCCACCGTCCAACCTTGCAGGACTTTGTTTCTCTGAATGTTTACCTGAAATCTGCTATTTTTTATATAGTTTTATAATTTTCTTGTGCATATCAACACTTTGAATAAAACACCAGAAAACTGTAAAATATAGGAACTTTAAAGTTTTTGCTTGTAGTCAATGTAACCCATGTTTTAGCTTCATTTCACCAGTGAGAATTAAATGACGTGCAAGTAATGAAACAAAAAGGATTTCTGGACATGATGAAGATAAAGTGTTGGGTTATAGCTGCAGTGTGAAAAGGAGTAACTCTATGGCTGTACTCTTTAATGTTACGCTATGCGAGTTCTGCCTACAGAGAAAAACAGACCTTCTACATTCAGCCTTCATCCATGTTATTTCCATTTCTGTCTTTCATTACCTGTTAAACCCCAATTTTCTTCATCCTCTCTGCCTCACCCTGCTTCTTTCCATTCTTTTATTCATTCCTTTATCTTTATTTCATCAGCCCATCATCTCTCAGTCGAAAACAATTAGTACACCCCCTGATATCTCATCAACTATAAATGAGGTAGTTGAGTGGTAGAGTGAGGTTGAAAATGTCAGGGCTGAGCTTTATAACTCTGCGGCGTATACATCGGATTTCACACACTCAAAAACGCACCAGTCCTCATCAGGCGGTAAACAATCGATTTTGAAAGGTGTGTGCAGCAGAAATCATTTCAAGGCTGCAGTAAATCTTTAAAAGCAATTCTCATGCATGTTTAATTTATTAAAAAGTATAGGCGTGGTTGTTCAACTTCATCTTTCAGCTTTTTTTTTTTTTTCCACCACAGAGAAATTGGTAAGTGGGGCCTGCTGAGACGAGACATCCCCACTACAGAGGAGAGTCTCAGCTGGAAACCAGAGGCTTATGGGACAGAAAAAGAGGATAGAGAGGACCTGTCACTTCTTTCTTTCATGTCTCATCCCTCTTTTCTTCCTGTCTCTACCTTCCTCACTAAACTCTCCATGTGCCTGTTTCCAGGAAGCTCAGTATTGTCTCTGAAGTGAGTCTTTTCTCCCATCTATTCCTCCAGCCTCCCCCTCACTCCCTCTCTAAAGTCCCAACAGAGAGTGACGGAGCAGCTGTCATGCTTTAGTTCAGATCTGCGTTTCTTTTCCTTGGTTTCCCCTCAGAGTAGCAGCAGCATGGTGCTGTACTCGCTGAGGCAGGTGTATGTAACAGAAGTGTAAGAAAGCATTCATGTGTACATAAAGTAACGCGTGGTGGGACTGCAGTGAAAACTGGTTGCTATATATGACCGTTTTTTGCACCTGAATTCAGTCAGGCATTTCCCCGACATCGCTCCCTTTATTAAAGGGATGGTCCTATTTTATTGCAACCTGGAACTTATTTATGTAATTGTGGCCATCATTTCTAGCTGTAATATTAACACTGTGTGTATTAAGTTATTCATAGAGGTCTAGATATGCAGACAGATTGCTTCAAAGAAGTCCAGCTGTGCTTTGCCATAGGTTTGTGTGCGGTTGTCCTGTGCAGTGGGGGATTATCACTGACTCTTATTGTGAATGATAACATTTGACACTTGTTGCCCAGAGGAAGAACCGATGGCAGACCGTGAAATTATTACCCAAACTGATGTAAACATCCTTCACAATTTGCCTACGACCTCCTGGTTCAACTTTGACCTGCCGTACTTCCAGTAGTTGTGCACACAGTTCTTGTGGCTCCACGCCGGCAGCAGTCAGAGCCAGAGGCGTTATGGTTTCAGGTTGTCCGTCCGTCTAATTCTCGTGAACGCGATATCTCGGAAACGCATTGAGGGAATCTCTTCAGATTTGGCATAAACTTTCACTTGGACTCCAAGATAAACTGATTAGAATTTCAAAGGTCAAGGTCACTGTGACTTCACAAAACACATTTTTGACCATAACTCACAAATTCATACACAAACTGACATAATTAAACACAAATCTCTAATAGGATAAAATATTGAAGTGATGACATTTTATTTCCAAATGGTCGAAGGTCAACTTCATTGTGACATCATGATATTCTGCAAAAACACCTCTAACCATTATTCATCACTGTAACTCAGGAAGAGGAGGTTGGCAGAGGCGTACAACCGTGAGGCGGTAATTTTAGTTCTAGTAATTCTGAACACTTGACTGCTCGGGTTTCTTGCCCCGTTAGACTTCGTCATAGCGATTTAGGCCTTGCTCCCAGATTTCAACAGTTATGTTGGTTCTGTCATCACTGATAGAAATGATCACCAA